TCCCAAAGTTTGCCTAAATTCTGCCAATTTCTAAAAACTTCGTCAGAGTTTCCTTTGTTTTCCCAATAAATCCCACCTTTGAAGGTGTGTTATCTCACCTCAATTTTGTACCTAATAATCATGGGTGGAACTCAAGGAACAACATTGCCTTAGTGCTCTTACAACCCTTCACAATTTATATCATTTAGCTTACTTTACAATTCAATGATCTCATTAAAATCATTAAATCATTTCAATCACATTAATCCTTTTGCATACAATTCTTTGACATAAAACATAAATCAAATCATAGAATAGGCTTATTGCCCTTTCATCACATACATGCTTCAATATTACATATGGTCTCCATAATACAATTTACATAACCTCCAATGGACATATTACAATTTACAACTTTAATTACAACACCATAACTTTCAAATGAAACATAATAAATAACCACTAAACTTAGCCAAAAAGAGACATGAACAAAATGACAATATGAATGGTCCTAGCACAACATAATGTTCAAGTCCTACGGGCCTCTTGCCCGCCGCTCCAACACCACTGGCACTATCTGAAATAAATCCCCAAAGCGGGATGAGATATACGAATATATCTCAGTAACCCATAGATTCTGGAGAATACCCCGCCCAATGGCACACTTCGATGCATATCAATAATATAATACAACATTAAAACGAGATAAAGCAAGGGATTTAGTGAAGTAGGGAAGCATAGTGAACAAAATACGATGAAGCTGGAATGGTCGACGCCAATACCACGCAACATCCGACCTAGTGGCCTCGGCACATAGCCAACGGGTTTCAAATCAAGGAGTGTTCCCAGAACATCAACCAAGGCACCCTTCATCCATATCCACCCGAGACTTCCTAGTGTGCTCCTCTCCGGATGACACACCACGACCCCAGGTCAACTGGAATTCCCTCGTGGGGACCTATTCGGTGGAAGTCCGTAACGCCCAAAGGCAAACTGTCTACTAGCCTGAGACTCGGTACATCCTATGTACCACTAAACATACACAATGCATGAACATGTTATACTACATTATTCACATACACCTCCAACCACTACCCTCAACGGGTATGGTGGAGCACACCCGGGGATCAAACCCCAGTACCAAGGGATTACTTAGATAATCTCCTCCGCTTGATAGCTCCTAATCACAATATCACCAAGCTTGGTTCCACCAGAAATGCCTACACATAGGCCATTTCCATCTCAATTTCAACCAACCAAATACATGCAAGTTTATCAAGTATACATGCATAGGTTCAAGAGCACTTACCAAAATCCCTTTGGTCCGGGACCAAAGGCAACCCACTAAGCTCACGGTTCCGAGTTCAAATCTGTGGGAGGCAACCTACAATGATCACACAAGGATCATCAATACAAGGTGAAATCCACAAGATTCCAAAACATCAAAATTTCCTCCCCACTTATGCTAGGTTCGGCCAACTTAGTGTTATTTTACAAAATATTTTTCATTATTTTCTTTTAATTTTTCTTTAGCATCCCAAGACTACCACAACACCATTTTAGGTCCCACTTTCCATCCTACATCATCACAAAATCCTTCTTTCCAATTATTTCCTTCTAGGTCCAAATGCACATCACACACAATCCAATTATTTTTCCTTTGATTTTCCATGTATCCACTCTTCACACCACACCTCTAAATACCATATAACAACACAACACATCAATTAAATAATTTTTGCATCATCACACCCTACAAGCCTTCCAATGGCCGAAATGTACATGGCCTCCCATCAAAAGGTATTCAATCCAATTCAACAATTCAATACATCATACAATCCTACTATTAACTCATATAAACACTCAACAACTCAATTACACAATCCTAAAATACATCAATTTCTCAAAGTCATAAAACCTTAACCAAAAATTACTAAGTTAAAATCCCAATTTCATTAATAATTTTTATGACATTTATCACTCTAAAACATCATTCTAAGCCACAATTGTCTAATACGCAATTTCTATTAGAGCTCTCTAACTACATCAATCACACAATTTAGCTCTAGGTTTTCAAAATTTAAATTCATGAATCAAGCCATAAAAAGTGTTGAAATATACTCACAAGCTTGGCCTAGGACCCCTCCAAGTGATTCCCAAACAATGGCTTGAACAAACAACTCCAAAAACCTCCAATTTTCGTGGCTGGTTTTGGCCCTTTTCTCTCAAATGAGAGGGTTTCAAGGAAAACTAATCGGTGGGATGTGTTCGGATGATGATTTCCAACAACTTTGCTCACAAATTTTACTTGATTTGAGGTTATATTGAAGGAGTTACGGTAGAAAGAAGAAATGGAAGAAAAATGGCAATGGTGGGGGGTTGCTCCACGGTTTTGAGGAGAGAGAGGGAGGAAAAAGATGATGAATAGTGGACTTGGTCCATGTTGACTAAGTCACTTAAGTGAGGTGGGCCCCACCGCCACCTCACGCGATTTCAAACTAATTCAAATCTCTCGCCTATTTTAATAAATGTCCATAATTTCATAGCCTATTTAGAAACTCTAATTTTTAACATTAACCATTGTCCTTTAATTTCAATTGATCAGATGAATCCGGAGTTTTCCGGTCGTTCGGAGAAATTGCAGTTTTAAGCTTTTATGCGCGTCGTGGGCACGCTTCCCCAAACGCACTCATCTTCATCAATTTTCACCAGAAATCATATTTCCTAGTCCTATGTACTATTTATAACTTATATTTAAACCTAGAGCTCAAAATCAATCGGCACGCTTTACGGTGCAACTGTGTCGTGATATTTTTACCTCGTAAAACACTATTCATCGAATTTTCAGAAACTTTCCTAACCACTCAATTTTTCGTTTTGAATCCATATTCAGGGCTATTTTTATCATTTGATACCTCCTACCCAATTTTAAGTTCCTAGAGTTACGTGTTTAGCTAATTACCATTTTAACCTTCCTTTGTATTTTGGTCTTAATTTCAGGATTTTCGCTAATCCTACCCTTTAATCCATCTTTAATGTATTAATATATGTTTTAGAAATTGTTTTTTAATTTCTTTAAGGAAATAATTTAAAAAAATATTATTCATATTTAATTTTTTTTAAAAAAAATTATAATAATTGAATTGATTCGAGTAAACAAAATTTAAATTCCACTTCTAAACAAATGATATTTACAACTTGTTTGGATCCTCTCTTTATTTTTTTTTTAAGTTAGAAGCTACTTTTAAACTAAAATAAAAAAGCTAAAAGTTATTTGGTAATTACATAAATTTTTTTCTTAAAAGCACACATTTAAAGAAAAGCCTCCCTCTTTACCCAAAAAAAAAGGGAAAGCCTCTCTCTATATTTTTATGGCTCTTTATTTAAAAAAAAACACACAATTCAAGAAAAATTGATAATAGCTTAAAAAAAGCTCCTCCTAGAGGCCTTTGACTTTTGGATTTTTTTTTAAGGTTTGGTGTTTGTCATTTTAAATGATATAAATTATGTCATTTTAAGAGAGAGATAGACACAAGTAATGGAAATCATGGGAGAGAAAGTGAATGATTTTTTAATTTAATTTTTAAATAAAAAAATATTTTCTTGTGTCTATCTCTCTCTTAAAATGACATAACTTTATGGGAGAGGTTATAGTTACTACCTCTTTTTGTTACTACTAAATCGTAACCGTTGATTTCCGTCAATCCAATAATTATAATTTATTGAAAATTAATAATTAATTAATAAGTATGATCCAATAAACTATAATCGTTGGATTGAGAAATCAACGGTTACGATTTAGTAGTGACAAGTAGTAACAAAAAGAGGTAGTAACTATAACCTTTCCCTAACTTTATATCATTTAAAATGACAAACACTTTTTCTTTTTTCTTTTTTATTATAAAAAAGAGTTTGTTTATTATAAGAACTTTTCTTAAAATTTGTTTGGCCTAATTTTTACTTATAAGGAGAAGAGAAAATATAAATAAGAAAAAGATAGTTAGTTAATTTGGTTTAGACAAAATTTAATATAATCATACAGCCACGAATTCATAATTTATAAATTAACCGTTGGTTGATTTGAATTATTAGGTTAAACCAGACTAATGATTACCTCAAACAACATATCAAAAGACACAAAAATAATATACAATTAAAGATATTTTAGTTTGTAGCATTAAAATTCTAATTTTGGTTACGTGTTTAATTCAATGAATAAGATGGTACCTATGGCGCTATAAATCATGATACCCGGATTGAAAATGAGATTAATTAAACGAGGAGATTTATATTAATGGGGATTAATTTTTTCATTTTTTGGAGTTATCCAACTCTAATTACCTCTTTGAGGCGAGTTGGCTCCCTCTGGTATCCCCACAAGCTTCGACTCTTTGAGCCGGCTATGAGACTAATCCGGAGTGCGGGGGTCACTGATAGCTAAACCCTAAACCAAAAAAAAAAAAAAAAAAAGAATTTTTTTTCTCATTTTACATGAGAAAATTTTCTTATGCCACACACTCAATGTATAAGTGGGGTCCACAAAAAAATAAAAAGACAAAAAAATAAATATGGGACCCACCTTTTGATTGTATGTGTAACATGAGAATCTTTTATCATGTAAAATGAAAAAATATTAACCCTATATTTATACAATAAATAGTTTATCAACTCTTACAATTAAATTTTAATACATGATTTTTGTTAATTTAATAATTTAATTTATTTGGGTTATACTAATAATAAGATTTATGATCAAATATAATTTATTATATTGACGGAAATAAATATTTAAAATTTGGTTATAAAAATATATAAATTATTTAATTTGTAAAAATAATAATAATTTTAATAATCAAATAAAATAAAATAAAAAATGGAGTAGTAATAATTGCACCGACGGAGTGCGTGGGTAGATTAGAGAGACAGTACGTCTACTTGGGACCCATCAACCATCACTCGCAACTCGCAACTCGCAACTCGCAAACATTAACACTTTGTTTTGTTAACCCTCCAAAAACTCAAACCCTCTCTCATATAATTTCCTATCTCTCTCACAAAACGCACACAAATACACAAACAAACGGTGGCCGCGACACACAGAGAGAGAGGGAGAGGAATCGGATTTCATTAATCTCATCTGGATCGATCATGTCGTCCTCCGGCGCCGGCAGGTACATGGCTTTCCCGCCGTCGCCGTCAGCCCCTCTCTCACCTCACCTCTCCGGTCTTCGCTCTGCTACCTCCACCGTTTTCGTTGAACAGGACAAGTATATATATATAATTCTATTTTTTCTTTTCTAATATTGTAGGATCTTCACTCTAATTTTTTACTTATTTTCTCAAATTCTTGTTATTAATGTTTATTTCTTTATTTGTCAATTTGATTGGTCCTTTACCTATCAAGCGATTCCCTGCTTTGTAGTATTTTTTTTTTTGGTTTCAATAGTTTGTTTCGATAGTCAAATGGGTCACACTCTGTTGGTTTTGCTTGGATTTGGTGCGTGATTACTGAATGATTGATTTTTGTGACCTGATCTGGCTGTCGACTGAATTTGATCTAGAAAACAGATCCGTTGATTCAAAAATAAAAATAAAAATAAAAATGGGGTAGTTTCCTTTTTGGTGAGTGATGATGCGGGCACTGGTTCAATGTTTACGATTATGAATCTAAGGATGGCTGAATTGAATTTTATTTGATTGCGGTAAATGTTTGTGGAACTGATTTGTTGTCCATTTGGTCATTGACCTTTTTTTTTTTCAACAGGATGATTTTGTGTTAAATTAGTTGATCTTATTGTTACAGTAATTAGATGACTTTGCTTCATTGATAATCAATTATATGTGAAAACACCATCCCTGTCTTCATTGCAATTTTTGTTCTTGATCAGACTGTTTTATCAATTCATGTTCTACCAAATGAATAGATATGGGTCGTTGAGAATTTTGTTGCATGTACATGTGCTTTTGTGACTAATGAATGGCTACAATATCATCCTCTCATTGCATGGTTTATTTCCTTTTACTTTCAGATATCTAACCGAGTTATTGGGGGAACGTCTCAAGCTTAATCCCTTCATTGCTGTGCTTCCACACAGCTATCGATTGTTAAACCAAGGTTAGATTCATTTCTCAAAATAGTGGTTAAAATAAGCCTTTTGTCTCCTCTCCCCCCCCCCTCCAAAAAAAAAAAAAGAGAGAAAAGAAACTTCTCCCGTGCTTACGTTATATTTGTGTGCTAAATTCAAATTGCTTTCCTCCTGTTCCCTAGTTGTCTTGGGATATTGAAGCATTGTGAAGTTACTTAATCAGTCACCTATTGCCTTTGGCATATGTCAGAATGCAGATATGATGTTTTGCTGATGCTCTTTATTTTTACATGATTAAATTGTTTGTGTTCGATCCAAGGAAGTTTTTGGGGCTCAAACACCTTTGCTTTTAGAGCAACTCAGAATGCTATTTGTATTAAAAAATTAGTTCACGATTATGCATTTTAAATGTTAAAAGGACTGTATGCTAATTTCATTGAACTGTATAATTAATTTCAAACTAATAACAATTGATGCCTTGATGATTTATATGATACAGGCCCAAGTAAATGTGGAGTATGATATTTTGATGTATTTGTTGGACTTATTTTGCTTATATTTGGTGAATGCATAAAAAAACAATGTATTTTGCTTAACTCTCAATACTTGAGTAAAGTATATGTCAATCTGTTTTCAACAAGAATTGTTTGATCACATACTGTTGTAAATATTTGCTTTTACTAGATTATTGTTTCTTTATTATTATTATTATTTTAGGATTTGGTTTTATTCTCTTCGACCCATTAGTCTCTACATATAATGTAACCCTTTGTACATGATAATTTGAGAAAGCAATAATATTTCCATTTTCTCCTTTGAAGTTGGCATCATAGCTCTCTATATTTGGGAGCCGCTTGCTTCTGTTGCAACTGGCTTTTGTGCGGATCATCTTGCGCTTTTAGTGTGGATCCTTTTTGTGCCTCTAGTGTCTCCCCAATAGCGTACCATTGCCGGTCTCTTTTCCGATGAACTCCAAACACCTTTATCTCCGTTAGCCACGATAAGAAAAAATTTCAAGGAATGTTTTCGACCAAAACCACCACCATTAGAATCAGAATCGGCGATCTACTAGATGGAGCAAGATCCGACCGAAGAAGACTCTCCACGCGCTTTCATGTGTGTCACTTGCATTGTGTAGGGACCTCACACACCCTTCTCCAACTGGCACATGACAGCCCGCTTGGCCACTGTTTTCGGCATTCGGCCATTGTCCCTGCTCACATTGTTCTTCCCTTTTGAGATCTACCAATTGCCTATTTGTTGGGGGCCTCCGGTGACTCAAGGTGTGATTACCAACTTCTTTTGTCCTTTGTAGAGACTATTTGCTCCTTGTGCAACGATCATTTGACTTTTCTGGGGACTTTTTATGTGGTTGGCCTCTTCCGTGGAGGTTATTATCTTCATTGATTTTTTTTGGGAGTTACACAATCTCCCAAGATCCGATTTCTTGGTGGTTTGCACTTTTGCTCATTAATTCAACAAGTGAGCACTCTATAATCTTCTTTTACAACCTTATCATTGATTTGAATTGTACTGTAACATTCTTTCCTACTTATTGTGTTTTTATGATCTCACTGAGGGGAGGACAATTGGAGTTTGCTGAGGAATACGACGGGTTGAACTATCTCTTTTAAGAACATGTTGTCAGTGGTTTGTAATCAGTCAAGTCTAATGATTTTTATAATTTTGCTTCATCACAAGCGCCTAAGGCATCCTTCTTTTAGCATTCTCAAAATCACCTTTCTAACCATTGTACATATTTTCCTTTTAGCTCCACAAAAGTGTCGAACCATTGATTTTATTCACTTTGATGTTTGGGGACCATCTAAAATACCTAATATCTTAGGTGCCAAATGGTTTGTTTTTCAGTTGATTATTATACTAATACTTGAATTTTCCTAATGAAGGACAAGTCAGATGTGTTGCAGTTACTCATCCGTCTCTATCACTTAGCTCAAACGTAATTTGGCAAAGATAGTACAAGATTATGGTCTAATAATGATATTGAATGCATCAACTAGCACTTCTCATACTTTGTTAAGGACAATGATATGATTCATGAGCTCACATGTGTAGATACCCCTTAATAAAATGGGGTGATTGAAAGAAAAAATCATCACATGTTTGAAGTGGTTAGAGCATTACTTTTTCAAACCTTAGATCTTGGCTCTTATTAGGGAGAAATTGTGTTGATTGCAATATATTTGATCCACTAGTTACCCTTGTAAAGAACCAATTCACCCAAAAGCTTAAGTTGTTGGGTGAGGGCCTTTTTAATGATTTATATTATACTCTAACACGCCCTTTCATAAGAGAGCCCATTGGGCTTGAAAGGCGGATGATGCATCAGGCTCAACCTACCTGTGCTAAGAAATTCCACAAAGAAAATGGGGAGCGGCGAAGATTGAACCCGAGACACGAGACTCTGATACCATGTAAAGAACCAATTCACCAAAAAGCTTAAGCTGTTGGGTGAGGGTATTTTTAATGGTTTATATTATACTCTAACAACCCCTTTGGGCTCTTGGAAATGTAAGTCCCATTCACCTCATGATTTCCTTTTTTTCCTTATGTCTTTATTATGCAGTCTTTGGTCTTGAGTTTTTGGGTAATTTTCATAAACAACACCTCAGTGAATTGGATCCCCAAGCTCTTTGTGTGTGTCTTCTTAGGATATGTCTTCGACAAAAAGGGTACAAATGCTATCATCCTCCACGTCGCAAGTTCTTTGTTTCTATGGATTTCACTTTTAATGAATATGAGTCCTTCACTTCAAGGTAGAAGCTTCGTTTATTTTCTTTAGTCTAAGTCTCGCTTTCTGTTACCCAAACCTTCTGATTTAGAATCTATTGAATCTGCCCCTGTTTCTACATTGCATGATATTGAGCAAGACGAAGATGGTAGTTCATCTGATACCTCATCCTTTGGCAATCTATGGAAGGTTGGGACACCCAAATTATTATATCATAGGAGGAAACAACCCACACTGCCCACCAACAGTTGATGTCATTAGAACCACTTATATGTACTGAATGCTCTACTATTTTTGTTACCGGGCCTAATATTATAAATCATGATGACCTACCCTTTGCTTTATGGAAACGGAAAAGGTTTTGTACCAAACACCCTATCTCTCGATTTGTCTCTTTTAAGAATCTTTCTTTGCAAGATAAAAGTTTTATTTCAACGCTTGATTCAATTTCAATCCTAACATCAGTGCATGAAGCATTAAATGATGATAATTGGGTTCAAGCCATCTCTACCTTGGAGAAAAATAAAATATGGAAAGTTGTTAACTTGCCCAGTGGAAAGAAAGCGGTGGGGGGTGTAGATGGGTTTATACTCTGAAATATGAATCTGACAGTACTCTTGATAGGTATAGAACTTGATTAGTAGCCAACAGCTACACACAGAACTATGAGATTGATTATTAGGAATTATTTGCTCTGGTGGCTAACATGAACACTGTGAGATTTATATTGTCCCTTGTTGTTCACTTTGCTTGAGCCTTGAACCAATTTGATCTGAAGATTGCTTTTCTCAATAGCGAGTTAGAAGAAGAGGTTTACATGCAGATCCCATTAGGATTTGATTCCATGAATAGAGAATTTGCATGTTGAAGAAGGTCGTGTATGTGTTGAAGCAATTTTGATGTGCTTGGTTTGGAATATTTACCTAGGTTATGATGTCATCGGGATACAAGCAGAGTCCAAAAGATCACATATTTTTCTTTAAACACTCTCAAGAAGGTAAGCTCATTGTTCTCGTCACTTATGTTGATGAAATCATTATAACATGAGATGATATAATTGAGAAACGTACTCTGCAAAAAGCTTAACTATAGAGTTTCAAGTTTAAAGATCTTGGGAAATTGAGATATTTTCTTAGTATAAAGGCAACCTATTCAAAGCATGGTATCTTCATTTGTCAGAGAAAGTATGTCCTTCACCTCCTTGAAGCAAAAGGAAAACTTGGGTGTAAACTTTTGCGTACTCCAGTTGAGTAAAATCACTAACTGGGAACTGAAGAGGAAAGCCCTCCATTTGACTGGTGGGAAGATTGATATCTGACTCATAATGGACTTGATCTAGTTTATGCGGTTAGTATTGTCAGCTAGTTCATGCATAGCCCAAGAGATAAACACCTGCATGCAATGGACAAATGCTTGAGTGCCTTAAGGCCACATCAAGTACTTGTATGTCCTTGACCTCCGTAAAGAAGGAAAACTTGGGTGTAAACTTTCGAGTACACAGTTGAGCAAAGTCACAAACTTGGAACTAAAAAGGACAGCCCTCTAGTTAACAAAAGACAATATCAACGGCTGGTGGGGAGATTGATATATCTGGCTCATACTAGACCTAATCTATCTTATGCAGTTAGCGTTGTCAGACAATTCATGTACAACCCAGGGAAAAACACCTGCATGCAGTGGGAAAATTTTCGAGTACCTTAAGGCCACATTAGAAATGGTCTATTATTCTGGAGAGGGGAAATTTATCCTTAGAGATGTGTACTGATGTCGTTTATGTTGGGTTTGTGACTAATCGACAGTCAAACCTTGGGCTATTGTATGTTTCTTTGTGAGAACCTAGTAACATGGAGGAGGAAAAAGAAAAACATGGTTGCTAGGTCGAGTGCAGAGGCAAAACTTTGAGCAATGACCCTTGTAATTGTGAGATGTTATAGCTGGACATTATTCTTAGATGATCTGAAAGTTAGATTTGAAGGACCCATGAAGCTACTTTGTGATTGAAAAAAATATATTGTGATTGATTGTCACTTCATTAAAGAGAAACTAGACAGCAGACTGATTACTACTCCATATATCCCTTTTGGTCTTCAATTAGTTGATGTGTTGGCCAAGGAACTTCCATCGACCAATTTCAAGAGCTTACTAGGAAGCTGGGAATGAATCATCCATTTCTCAGCTTGAGGGGTAGTGTTATAAATATTTGTAATTATTTGTATTTACTAGATTAGTGTTTCCTTATTCCCTTTGGCCCTTTAATCTCTATATATATCGTAGCCCTTTGTACATGATAGTTTGAGAAAGCAATAATATTTCCGTTTTCTCCTTTCAAGTGATACAGATATTTATGAAATGTGTTTTGGTAGATTCATTCTATAATGTACATGTTCTATCTTTAATTGAATGTAATCTCTTACTTTTGTTCTTATAAGTTGCAACCATAATTCTAGAATTTGAGATAAAAAGATTTATTGTAGGGTTATAATCCACTTAATTCTTTGTTTTTGTACACACTTTAGATGACCTTCCCACATTTCATGAATTAACAGTGATAATCTGATTAAGTTAAACACTTGAATGCATTTTTTCCGTGGACTATATTTCAAATGCTCTTTTTGTTTGGTTCTTGCTTGCAATTTTTTTTTATACATTTGATTTTAATTATTTTTCTTTGTTTCACACCCAAGTGCTGTATGATTAGGATCCATAAAGCATACAAGTTTAGGCTTTTGCAAAAATATTTTTTAGATTAATTTATCATAAGACTTGAGTTTTCTGCTGAATTAAAAACTTATTCTGAGTGGTGATAATTATATGCCACAGATTGTGTGAATGCCAACAGTTGGGTTTCACTTTGCTGGAGCATAGTTGTGGTCTTGCAGTAGCAATCTATTTTTATTTATTTATGAAATCTGTGAATGTACAGTATTCTTAGTACTAAGAGTAATACAAAAGGATGAATGTACATATATTTCAGGTTCTACTGGAAACTTCCACTGAATTGTGTAGAGTATTATACATTTACTACATGCATATATGTCTCTGTATGCATATTTTTTAATTTATGCTTTTGTTGATAAACCTTTTTTAAGTTTAGTGAGGTTGGAGAAGTGTGGAAGGACATGAGAATGTAGCATACGTTGGAAGCAGAAGTATGAAAGAAAGAGTTTATGTGAAGGATTTAATGGAAATGGTTGACAGGTTTAATATGGTGTGGCCAACGGTTCTGAGTTTTAGTTATTTTGGCTGCAATTTTTTTTAAAAATTTCTTAACGGGGATCACCTTTTTCTTTTGGTTTGGACTTTTTTTATTTTTTTTGTCAGGATGGTTTTTTTGGCTGTCAGAGAGAAAATGTGTTAGCTTGTAGTTGCCTCCACATGATACAGCGGAAAAATTGATACCAGCTAAAACTGAACGTAATTGGTTAGAAAGGGTAAGGATTTTAAGTGGAATAACATTGGAAGTCTAGTTCAAGAACCCTATAAAGCTTCCAATCTGAATTCATTGTTCAATTTGATGGAAAAACTGCTCAGTTGCTCCTAAGAGCCTTCTTAAAGGTTCATAACGAACCTAGTATCCTAGCCATTCATCACATACGGGTTAGTTTAGTTCAACCATAGTTAATCAAGTTATGAAGTTACATGACTTTTTTGTTGACTTAGAGCTAAACTAGTGGCAGGAAGTCTAGAGTATTATAAGTGTTGCTCTCTTGATCTCAAATTGTAGTCTTCAGTATTATATTCCATGCACATTTTAGTTGGACCGTTAGTTATTTATGATATAAATTGCTTTACATTCAAAGCAAAAATTGGGGTAAATGTTTAGTGGAGTTATTCAATTGGTGCAAGAATTAAGGCTCTTAAACGTCATGACGAGCCTTCTCATTCTCCTTAGAACCAATGATCCCTTTTCTATGATTATTGGTATTTGGATGGAAGAGATTTGAGGAAAAGGGAGAAGGATTCAAGTAAAAATTCTCCTCTTTCTGGGAGTTTTTCAAAATGTGGAGAGGAAACTGAGAGATTATCATATGAACCTACAAAATCCTCCCTTTTAATTTCTATGAACATTTTAGAGTTCCTTTAATTTGGAGTATTTTAAACATCCACAAAGTGAAGTAAACTTATTACTTGCCATTTTCTTCCCTTCACTTCCCCTTCATTTTCTATTTTTCTTCTCCTTGCCCCTCAACAACTCCCAGACTCCCAGACATAGCCTGATTGGATCGGATGGTTATTATATGCTTTGTTAATTGACTAATCAAAGGTTTTTGTTTTTTGATATCTCTTTATTAATTGAGTGAAAGATGTGTTTCTTGAGTTGTTATATTACTTAAGGAATTGACAAAATTAGATGCAATTGGTCTTTTGCTTATCTGAATGGAATAAAGGGTTAAATTATATTGGTTTCTATAGAGTTTAGTTTGTCCGTACAGGTTCTAGGATTCAATTTGTCATTAGTAATTGTTTTCCTTCTGACAAGGCAGCAATTCTAGCCAGTATATGTGATTGCTGCTATATGTTGTTGTGGTGAAGTGTTCTTACGAGATAATTGTTTAAGCTCTTGAGGTGTTTATTTTGTAAACTGAAGTCCTTAAAATGTCATTCAGTTTTTTTAAGATGTTTTAAAACTAGAGTTTGGTTATGTTGGAAGTACCTTTTTCAGTGGTTTACTAACCTAATTTTTCCTGAAGTGTCTTTTATTGGAGTCTATAATATCAATTTCTTTAAATATTAGCAAGATGGCACTTTACTGCATGTTTTTTTCTTACTACCAGAGTAATACCATAAAAAGCTGGAACATATCTCGTAGGGGTAGCATTAATTTCTTACTGACTCAGCAAACATCCGTGTTGTCTATAGCTTATGCAGTAACTGCTAACTTGTTAACAAATGCTGACTGGTACATCTTATTCTTGAAAATTGACATTTTTGGAGCAGAAATTTTGCGTGTAACCACGCTGTTGGGAAAAGCATCAGTTTTAGGTCAAAGTGGGCTTGAACATGCTAGCCCCCTGCCTACTGGAGGAATATTTTCAAATGGAGGTGCCGATGTGAACGGATGGGCATCACGATTTCAACCAGAAGTACGGATACTAACCATTAACATAACTTCATTTCCATCTAATTCTGTATTTCTGACATAATTTTACATCTCATGCTAACTCATGACATTTGTTCGAGTTATGTTAGTTCTAATTGTTTGTGACAGGTAGTGCAAAGCTAACATCAAGCACTGACAATTAATCTATAGCTTAGCTTCTGATTCCAGAATCCTGCTAGTGGATCTAATGTTCTTGTCTTTTTGTATTAAGATAAATCAGATGTCAACACTTGTTTGTCTTTAATATTTGCTGCAAATTCACAGACGTGATGAATAGTGTCAGCTGGATAAACCTGAATGTATTAACATGGGAATCTTGATTTTGTTATGGTAACACTAGCTACTTAAAATCTCTGCCTGTTATGTGGAAAGCTAAACAGTGAGTTTTATGAGGTTTGAGGATTTAACTTATTAGCTAAGTTGCTGAAATGGGTTGTTAATTATATTGATGCCTTCATGATTTGAGTTCAGCTGTAATTCCAAAGTTCATATAACACATTATTTTCTGACATCCTGATCATCTTTGATTGATTTAGTCAGGTCGTATTTGTGCATTTTTTGTTGTTGTGGCTGTTGATAGTTACTCTTTACAGTTTACACATGTTCATATTTTAATTTATGTCTTTTCAAAGAGCAGCTATTGTAGACCTTTTTTTGGTGATCTCTTGGTGGCCTCTGATACAGTAATAATTTAATTTTCATCTGCATGCCAGTAAATAGACCGCCATATCTGTTGTTGTAATTGACATTGGGATTCAAAAATGCAGATGCCAGGCCTATTACAGTCCTCATCAACACAAAACTGGCTGAGCGCACAAGGCAGCTCGTCTGGTCTTATTGTTAAAAAGACAATGAGAGTGGATATACCTGTCGGTGCATTTCCTAATGTATGTAGGATAATATCTCTGCCCCAATATATACTAAAATTTTCTACATAGCAAGATCTAATATTGAATTTAGCGTATTGCAGTATAACTTTGTTGGTCGCCTCCTAGGCCCTAGAGGAAACTCTCTAAAGCGTGTAGAAGCAAGTACTGAGTGTCGTGTCTTGATCAGGGGACGTGGTAGCATTAAGGATCCAATTAGGGTAAGAATAAACACTTTATTTTTTGTACCAAGTCTAACATGTTCATTTATACTGAGATAAAATTTATGTACTATAATGTTGAAAGCCATTGAAATATACTGTTACTGTGATTTTGTCGTATAATATCAAATTGAAGTGTTTAACATCTGGTGAAATTTTTTCCTATTTATTTTATCCAGAGTTCTGACTTTCTTCTGGTTCTTGTCATGTTCCGTTGATCTTGACAAAAAAATTATAATAATTGGTAAATCATCTTATATTATCTGAAAGTATATGTGGTAACTGGTAAGTGCTTGTAGTTTATGTCTCTACATGCTCTGGTGTCCAACCAGCCTAGTAAATCCAATGTTGAAGCTCACATTGCTTAATAATGTTCAGTAGATTTCAATTGGATAATTTGGTGGTTCTAGTAAACAAGTTTTAATCATTCGTGTAGGAGGAAATGATGAGAGGGAAACCTGGGTATGAGCATCTCAATGAACCTCTTCATATCCTAGTTGAGGCAGAATTACCAGTTGAAATAGTAGATGCTCGCTTGATGCAGGCACGTGAAATACTTGAAGATTTACTTAAGCCTGTGGTATGTTCTTGGGAAGTCAAATAATTGAGATTGCCAGTAGTACATAAACAACTTTATAGGGATACTGTTTGTTCTCATTCTTTGAAGTTTTATCTTGCAGGATGAATCTCAGGATTTCTACAAGAAGCAGCAGCTTCGGGAACTAGCGCTGCTAAATGGCACTCTTCGTGAGGAGGGTTCTCCTATGTCTGGTTCTGTTTCACCTTTCCACAACAGCCTTGGTATGAAGAGGGCCAAGACCAGGGGGTAATGTGTGCTAAAGGGTGAGAGGGCTTTTGGAGCTTGTGTTAATTTTCTACAACAGCATGCAACATGTGATGCTGTAAGCTAATGGCCTAAACTGCCATCGGGGCACTGGCACCATAGTGTAGCCAGTTTCTAACTTGTTCTATGTGCAGTGTGTTTACATTCAGTTTGGGGGAGGTTTAAAGATGGGTAGCACGTAGTAAAGGTCCACTTGAGTTTGGTGAATTTGCTTTTTGGTGTTGGTTTGGCGGTTTGGTTAGATATTCACCAAATCTGTTTAATATCTGTGGGTTATATTTTAAGCTTGCAATTACAATTTTGACATAGTTTTGGAATTCTGTGAGGAAGATAATGCAAGTGGTTTGTACCCAGATTGTGAGGCAGATGACATCTATTACTTCAATGCGTGTATTGGTGACATATTTTGGACTCAGATGTAGATGATATATCTGTGTAAATGCTGTTTTTTTTTCCTTCGAACATTAAGTTTTCATGCATTTCCTTGTTGCATTTGCTTTGTGGTCGTGTCTTTTAGAATTGTCAAAATAGGTGGATTTGACCCGTTAACCCGGATGACGTTATAAATTATGAGATGGATCAATAAAATTATAGCTAAAAATATGACGACTTGAATTAATTTGGTCTAGTCGTGAGTTAGTCTGCAATTGTATAAAATTAGTATTGTTAATTATTTTAATTAATTTTATTTTTTTTGAGCTTTCTTGAATTTATTTTAAAATCATTTACTAATTTTAAATCTTTTAATATGAATTAGTTTATTTGTCATGTAAGTTAATTAAATAAAATGTTTAATATTAATATTTTTAAGTTGGAAAAAATGTTTATCTTATTAATGGCATGGTCTCATGACTTGATGTAAGTTACAAGTTACAATTGCTGCCACGAGTCCACGACAATGCCTCCTTGTGTTAATAATGCATCAATTAAAATATTTTTTATATAATATTTGGTTGAAAAATTATGTCTATTTTTTTTCATGTTTATTTAGCTATTTTTATTTAGATCATAGTCTTAATTGACCTTTATCTTTTTTTCTCTTTTAAGATTATAATCTAAAAATATTGGAAATAAATAAAATAGGCATAAAAAAATATATAATATTATATATTTTCAGTTCTACAGGTTCAATTTTTGATCCACCGATTGAATTAATTACCTATTAGTTTGGAACCTTGATTGAGTCAATTACCGAGTCAGATTTAATTACATTGATAATAGAAGATAAAGTTATTTTATGCCATTCAAAAACATTGGATTTATGGAATAAAATTCAATGTATTTTTGAAAATTTTACTTTTCTCTCGTAATATAAAATTTTATAATATTTTTTACCAAATCCCAAAATATGAGATTAAAACATTTTTTATTTTTGGAAATAATAAAGTTTAGATTTGGTGAGACACACTCGGTCCAAGGTCAAGGAAGACTTTCAACTTCGTTGATAATTTAAAGTGAGATTATATACAGCCTAAAGAGAAAAACTTGATAATTTAACCCAAGGCAAAAATGTTCTTTACTAATCATACACTAACTATGTTTTTCACTCAACTATGTATAAATAGGTTATCTTAAACAAGAAAATATACCAAACTATAATATAAATGCAATGTTAATTTATTGGATAAAAAAAATTTCTTTTATTTTTCTTATAAAATGTTTGTTTTTAGTTGACTCTATAAATATCCACACCTTAAAAAGAGAAGACAACCACGAGGTTAGTAGATTACACTTATACTTTGTTATTTTTACTAATCATAGACTAACCATGATTTTCATTTAGCTGTGATATAAAAAAGTTATCTCAAACAAGATGTGGAAATGAATCTTTCAATAAACCAAATACTTTTAATAATAAAAACACATGATTATTTGATTGATAAAAATATTTTACTCACATAAGAAAAAAAAATTATATCCTTTAGTTAATACATGATAATGTACCATACAATTTTAGAAACATAATAATTTTTAATTAATCAAAGAGAGAAACTGATAATTTAAGATTATATTGTATTCAGGCTGTGGTTGCTCGTTTGAAAATCACTACGTCAAGGAGTCACAGCTAGAGAGTATCAAGTTTCATCATATGATGTGTGTTAACGCAATTTCTCTTTTCTCATTTATAAATTATGTATTTCATATTAAAAGAATTGTTAGTTTAGTGATAATTTTTTTAGACCTTAAGATTTAATAATACAAACACATGATTAATTGATTGGATAAAAATACTAGACACATAATAAATTAAAATTAAATCCTTATTCTGTAGATGAATAATAAATGGGAAATAATTTTCTTACATTGTAGGAAAATAATTATCTTATGTTGTAAAAACAAAATTGCAAGTGGAACTCATAAATAAGAGAAGAAAGAGAAAAAAGAAGTGAGACCCACTTATCTTTTATATGTGTAAGAAATTTAGTTATGTCATGTAAAATGAGATAAATATAAACTATAATATATCATATAAAATTAGAAACAAACTAATTCCATATTAATCAAAGCGAGCAAAACTAAAAACTGAAAATATTGAAAAATATATTTTATTCTGTAGTGGTAGCCAGACATATAATCATTGTGTGTTAGTAGTCACAGTTGGAAAGCACCAAATTTCATTATATGAAACATGTTTTGACACATACATATATAGATATGATTTTTTATTTGATACATATATAATTTCTTTTTATCCTCTATAAATTATACATTTCTAGCGGACAAAATCCACACCCTGAAAAGAGAAGGCTACAAAAAAAAGGTTAATGAATTACTCTTTATCAAATTTGTTTGAGATTTTGCTTATTTAATAAGATAAAGAAACTTTGGAAAATAGAGATGTTTTAATCCCATCTGTATTACGATTACGAAGCATGCAATTTTAGAATCATTTAGCTTCTGTGTTTGAATAGACGGATTTCAAGTTGTTCCTCGGAAATTGAAGTGTTTAATTTTATTTTTTTTTGTAAATGAAGTGTTTAATTTTTACCCAAGGGCAAATGACTTCTTCTGTCGTTGGAGAAGTCTGATCTCATGTCATTGTCGTTGAAACAAAAATCGTGTGGGTCTCATTTATTTAATTTTTTTTAAGCAATAAATACAAAAATCGAAAGGAGAGTAGAATATATATATATATATATATATATATATATATATATATATATATATTGCAACAACAGCATGAGAGGTATAAATCATTTTACTAAAAGCGAAAATATTGAAATAAATACACTCCAAACTAATCTTGATGATATATAAGGGAAATGGGAATTTAAGGAATACATCACAAGATGTCTTATCTTGCTTCAAAAGTGACAGTATTAAAGTTAAGAGTTGTCATGTACCAAAAAAAAAATAAAAAAATTAAGAGTTGTCAACCAAGAGTTGGTAGTTTACTAATAATTTTTTTAGACCTTAAGATTTAACCTGATAAAAAGATAATGAATTCAATTCTTGATAATCGCAACTGATGAAAAAGATAGAAAGACTCAAACTCAAAACTGAATTAGATTGACCTGTTAGGACTTCAGACACTGGTTAATAAACAATTAAATTCTTGAACATTATGTGCAAAATAAAATAAAATAAAAGGGTAGTGCAAGGAAAGACTCAAAGTGCTAATTTAATAACTACCTTTGTGGATAAGAACAAGAAAACAAAAGAAATAAAGCAAGTCAGTTGCTTCACCATAAAAGAAGTAGACAAAACAAAAAAGAAAAAGAAAAGTTAAGGAAAATGCAGTTTCTCTGCCGTAAAAGAAGCAGATAAAACACTAGGATCATGCATTTTCTTTGTTTCTATTGCAAGAGGGATATATGAAAGAGGACAATACCAAGTATATCTCTTTGCATGCAATTTTCTTAGGTTAATTTAACTTAATGTACAAATACACACTCAGTGGATAGATTTGGGTGCCATTACTTACATAAGTGTGTCTATACAAAGTTGTTTAAGTATTTAGTGGCAAATTCATAGAAGTTGAGATTAAGGGGTCTTTCAAATAATTATTTCTCTAGGGTTTGAACCTTGGTCCTTCACCTAATAGTGTGGCTCATTTACAGCCACACCAACCCTAGTTGGTATCGTTGTCTCTAACTTATCATATACTAATTATAGTTTTCACTATGTGATGTGATATAAAAAGATTATCTTACACTAGTAATTATGAATCTCTTAATAAACTAAAAAGTTTAATAAAAAAAATACATAACTAATTAAAAGGATAAAAATATTTTACACACATAATAAAATGAAATTAAATCCTTAATTAATAGATTAATAATGAACTACATAAAATTAGAAACATAATAATTTCTAATTAATTAAAAAATACATTTTATTCGAGTTGTGGTTGCTCGCCAGGTAACCACTGCGTGTCAAAGAATCACATTCAAAGAACTCCAAGTTTCGTCATATGAAGCGTGTATTGACACGCATATAGATATAATTTCTCTTTTTCCTCTTATAAATTACGCATTTCTAATCGAAAATGTAAATGTCCGCACCCACCCCGGAAGAAGAGAAGACAATCAAGAGGTTAGTGAGTTATTTTTTTATATTTTGTTACTTTACTAATTTATTTGAGATTTTACTTATTTAATTTCAAGAATTTTATATATAATGCTTTATGAATGTATTTAGCTATAACTTTTGTACTCAATCACCATTGAGTTTTTACTTCAATCTGATTACATGAATACTTTTATGGTGATATGCAAACAACAAAGGAGCCTTAATCAAATGGCCTTGAAACGGATCGATAAGGAATTGAAGGACATCCTTACAGATCCTCCTTCATCTTGCAGTGCTGGTATGTTTTGTGCTTTTTTTTTTATTGTGGAGGAGTAATTTATCTTCATATATTGGGAAGATGATCTATTATCAAGCGAAGCATAAATGTTTGCCATTCAAAATTTAGATATAGATTTCTCACTACAATAATGTACTTGATTTTTGAGTTTGCTTAAAACTTGGTGTAACTTAATATAATTGCAATGTATGAATTGAGTTTTCAATGTTTAGGCCCAATAAACAATGACTTGTTTCATTGGCAAGCTACAATTATGGGCCCTACAGATAGCCCATTTGATGGTGGTGTGTTTCTTGTATCAATCCACTTCCCATCAGATTATCCCTTCAAACCACCTAAGGTAATCCCAAAGCCCCTTTTATGCATATATGTAACTTGAATTTCAATATACCTTCTTTGAAACTTGATGTGATACTTTTGCATTGAAATGTTCTGGATTTCACTTCAATTGGATAAATCATTTGGAATAATAATAGGACAAATGATTTCTGCAGTTGTGGCAGAATTTATCCCCTCTGCCACTTATACAAAAATAAGAGAGAGAAAAGAGAAAAATGAGAGAGAGAAGAGAAGGGAATGAGTTAGTGGCAGAAAAAAAAATTTAGCTTTTAAAGCAGAAATGATTTTCCTATAATAATAATTAAAAAAACAACCTAGTGTTATAAAGCCCTCACTAATTGCTTGGTAGCCAAGGGTTAGACCCACAGTATGAGTTAGTAGTAGGCATTCTTATCTTACATTTGCAAGAGACTAATTACATGAATCAAACATGCGACCTCTGGTTATGTGATGACAACACCAACCTTTGCATAAAGCACTTAGAATATGGAGGATTTGTTTAGTGAGAATGTGATGAAATTGAGGAAGAATTTCATAGTGATTCCCATTTATTATATTTGGTTGTCTTTCTAGGCTTAAGAAAATAGGAATTTAATTGCAAAGTATTCTATTTACCTATTGATTGGATTTGGGCATATGCACTTTCAAATATGTAAGCTATAGGTGTGGTTTATAAGAATTCATTATTGTTATGTTTAGGTTTCATTTCTCACAAAGGTTTTCCACCCTAATATCAGTAGCAATGGTAGTATTTGCCTTGACATTCTCAAAGAACACTGGAGCCCTGCCCTCACAATATCCAAGGTAATGTGCTAATTCGTTTTTGGAAATTTATTACTTTCATTGCTAAACAAAATATGTCAACATGTCATTTTAGTCACCATTAGATTTTTCCATTATGTTTTATCCTTTTTAAGATTCATATTGGAATGACTTTCATATTATTTATAAATAATCAGTGTAGAAAGCAATTAAGATTATTCTAGTGGTAGTGGTGAGGGGTTTGAATAGTCTGCATGAGGTCATTAATCCAAACCTCAATGCTATTATTGTAAAAAAAATAAAAATCAATGTAGCTTATTGAGGAGATTTTTTTCTTTAACTCAAATTGCCCAAATCGACTTTCCTTTCAAAATAATTATGTAATTAATTATAGGAAAAAGTGTTTGTCATTTTAAATGACATAAAATTATGTCATTTTAAGAGAGAGATAGACACAAAATAATATTTTTTATTTAAAATTTAAATTTAAAAAAAAATCACTTACTTTCTCCCTCGTAATTTTTATTTCTTGTGTCTATCTCTCTCCTAAAATGACATAACTTATGTCATTTAAAATGACATAATTTATGTCATTTAAAATGAGAAACATCAAACCCTTAATTATATGCTTGGCCTAATATAGTTTGATAGATTGAAATTTTGAGTTGAGAAACTAAAATTGTGGCAATTTGCAGGTGCTCCTTTCCATATGCTCTTTGTTGACAGATCCTAACCCAGAGGATCCTCTGGTGCCTGAGATTGCTTATATGTACAAGACTAACAAGGCCAGATATGAAACCGTTGCTCAGGCTTGGACCCAAAAATATGCAATGGACTAGGATCACTAGTTGATGTGCATATTCCCTACCATATATAGTAGTGAATAAATAAGTTGAATTGACATAAATATGAAATTATAGTTTGCTTTGTATTTCGTTTATTTCTAATATTGTAAATTTGGTATAAGGCACTTTATAGTATTTTTAAGTTTATAGATAGAAGTGTTGTTCGTTTATTAATCGTCTAGCATAGTTTGCGTTGAAGTCTCTATCCAAGTGATTCTTATCTGTCGCATTTTTTTTTTCTGTATGTATATTAGGATCCATATTTGTTAGGGGAAGTTTATTACTGTGACTAGGTACTATTATCAAAATTAAAAGGAATTGCTAAATGAACATTTTAAAAATATTTACACAACTAGTTTTGTATAATCTCTAAATGTGTGTAGCACATATTGTTTCTATTAATAGCTTAATTTACATATATTTTTTTTGCTTTATATGAATTGTTCATAACATTTTTCTGAATAAATAAACGTAATTCTTGATCATATACATAACATAGGTTGGTAAATCCAAGGTTTGAGTTTTTGAGACGACTATTCTTAGTGAACACTACTTTAGCATTATACATTATAGTTTTTATTGAACTTGATTAATGAGTAGATATCACAAGTTGATGAGAGTGACCAAAGTTGGAGAAAGTTGTCTTGAGTCCAAACAAACCGTGGTAACTAGAAACTTCTAGGCATACGACTTATGCAGAAAATTTTAATAGTTGAATATGCAACAACTAATTATTAGTAGTGTGCATTTGCATATTTTAAATGTAATCGAAAGCATAATTTCTCCATTTGTTTTTAAGTATTGAAGATTCATATCGTTTTGTCTTGTCTTTCCTCCAAGTATTTCAACAATCCATCCTTCTACTATTATTGGGTTGATAGACCATCCTAACCAGTGGCGGAGCTAGAGAAAAAAAATCCAGCCAGTATCAAAAAATCGAGTCAAGTAGAATCCAACTAGTGCTAAAATAGTATTACTTTTAAAAACTCAACCAGTGTATCATAATTTTTAAAGAAAGTCTATAACATTTTTAAAAATTAACTAGTGCTTGCTAGCTACCAAGTGGTTCCGCCACAGATCCTAAGGTATGATAAGTTGATAACCAAGGGGACGCTCTTACAAGATATAAAGTTGAGATAAATGTGCATGATTGAGGAATTCAATTTCCTAACATAGGATAAGTCTAGGAATTGGGTTCCTAAAATAGACTAAGCAGGGAGAGGCACTTGCAATATACAGAGCTCTAATACTGAGAATATTTCACGTTATGAGTAAATCTATGCCCACTAAAATTGTCGGCAGATAAATGTTAAAAAAAATTATAATATATGTGATAAAAAAATTATAGCATACAATAATGTTCTACATAAATAAATTGAATGATGTTATATTTGGTGTCAAAGCTGTTCATCCATGAGAATCATGCATACGAGTATATTAATATGCCATGGATTCTAATTACTTTGATTATTAGATATATAGACTACTCATCTTAATATTTTATTCATTGTATGCATAATTTCATAGTTAACAAATGATAGTATACTATTTTTATCAATGGCGGACCGAGGAATTTTTATGACAGGGGTGAAAATAAAAAATATAATATTATAAATAAAAGTACATACAATACAATATACACCTAACATAAAAAATATTTGAAAGAAATTTATTAGAGAAATTAATATCACTTCACTTAACTCTTACTTCATACGTGTTTTTATATTGTTAAATTTTTCTATAATTGAATTCGTGCTAAAATTCAAAATAATTTCTTTTTGAATGTATGTAATCAAAAAATATCAAGAAACTGGTCTTCCATTCTATTTCGAAGCATGTTCTTGATTAACTTCGTAGCTGAGAAAACTCTTTCAGTAGTTATTGTAGAAGGCAAACAACATGCAACATCTTTAGTTAGAGAATACTATAACCAAGATGGAAGCAAATCAAACTAAGAAGAGCAAAAATGACATCGCTTCTTTTTTAGCCCAGATAAAGGAAAATTTTGAAGTTTGCATTGAAAAGGACCGAGTTTAAGATAATCACAACAAATTTCATCTTGTTAATTTATAGGATATTTCCATATTGTAGGGCGTAGTGCATGATCTCTTTCCAATTAAACAAGATCAACTTCTTTAACTACCTCTTTATTTTCAATTCTATGAGATTTTGAAGAAGGAGTCTCAATATTTGACAATTCAACATAAAGAGTAGAAGGAGACGAAGACTCACTATTCTTTTTCTTAAAATAAGCATCAATGATAGCACACTTTTCTATAATAATCACCTACAAAGAGTATAAATTATTCCATAACCAGTGTGATTTAAAAATATTATTAAAAGCAAAAAGTATAAAGAATAAAGACTTACTATCAGCTGCGAAAGCCTTGAGAGACGATGGTGAGTGATTAATGATTTGGAATGGACAAGAAGGGGACAAAAGAGTAGCGAAATTTGGGGAATGAGAGAATAGCAGTGGCGGCGAAGGAATTGGGATTAAGAAAAAATGTGTTTAGCAAGTGAGAAGATAATAGATTACGAAAGAATAGAAAAATTAAAAAAAACATAAGATATTATTTTATTAAAAAATAACAAAATATTATTTTATTTCAAATAAAATAAAATATTATTTGTTAAAAAATACAAATTGGGCCTAAAGGCTTAAAAAACATGCCTGCTAGAATAGACTTGTGACCCATTTACACCCCTAGACGCAAGTAAAGGGATAATGTTTTCTTTTAGGAGTTTTTATTTTTTAATTTGAAGGGGTTAATTTTTAGGACAAACAATTCACTATATTACCAAAATGATATTTTGTATATATAATTTTTTTTTCAAATTTTAGGGAAGGGAGAGGGCCAACCTTAGCCCCCCTACCACCCATGATTCTTATAACCTAGTAAGTAATATGTTGATTCTCAAGTATTTTTTCTCTAAATTGTTTCAATTTCAACATCTATTGCATCTCTTCAATCTTGATGTTGTACATCTTCATTAAAAGTAGTTGGATCACTATCTGCAAATAAAGCAAAATAAGCTAATGGGTTTTCTCTTTGATCGATTATGGATATCTTATAATCTCTCGTCCACACTGCCTTCACTGGTGACGTAGGTGTTCACCATGTGTTACAATAGTTTTAGAATTGTCTACATGAATTTGTTGCAATGTTGAGGCTTCCACTATTCGTTGTAGAATTTAAGACCGAATTAGGCTATTGATCCTCCACAGAAATTTCTTAAAAATTAGTTGTAATTGATGCCTTCTCACCATCTTATTCATTCCATGTCTACAACTTTTTTTCATCAAAGACTTCATCATGGTTGGTGATTATTTTCTTAATAAAAAAGGATCATATAATTTATAAGCCTTTGAGTGATCAATAATATCAAGAGAATCACATATTTCTCCCTTGTCATCTAGTTTTTCCTCATCTAATCTAGAACATTGGCATAGGCAATGCATCTTAAAATTTGGAAGTGGTCTATGGTCGAGCTCGATATGAGAGGACATACAGGCTCCCAGAACTGAGCCTAAGGGAGAGCTAGAGAACTTGGTTATAGGAGACAAGGCTGAACACTTCACCAAAATGGGGAAGAATTTGGGTCTCGGCACCAGAAACCAGGTGGTATCTTTTTTAAAGGAGAACTGGGATGTATTTGTCTGGAAGGTGTCCGAGATACCCAGCACAGACCCAACTTTCTGCTGCCACAAGCTCTCCATGTATCCAGGGGCCTATCTCCCAGAAGTAAAGAAATATCAAACTTGATCGATGTAAGGTGCCCAATGATCATGTTGATGAACTATTGGAGGCCAAATTTATTATAGAGATATAATATACGACCTGGCTCTCGAATGTGGTGATGGTCAAAAAGCCCAATGGGAAGTGGTGTATCTGAATCGATTATATCGGCCTCAACAAGTTATGCCCAAAAGACTCATATCTGATGCCCAATATAGATCAGTTGGTGGATAATTCCTTAGGCTTCTAGCTGCTCTCATTTATGGATGTTTATTCTGGCTACAATCAGATCCCACTACACCCCATTGATCACGAGAAAACTTCTTTCATCTCTGAAAAGGGAAATTATTGCTACAATGTCATGCTTTTTGGGCTCAAGACTGCAGGAGAAACTTACTAAAGGATGATAATCGGGTCTTTGAAAAGCATATCAGCAAGAATTAGGAGGGCCACATAGATGACATGATAGTGAAATCTCTAGGGCCAGAGGACCATGTGGCCGAACTGAAAGAAATTTTCGAGCAACTTAAAGCCCAACACATACGACTAAATCCACTAAGTATGCATTTGGGGCTTTGGTGGGAAGATTTCTTGGGTTCATGCTGACCTATAGAGGCATAGAGGTCAACCCAGACAAATATAAAGTCGTGCTAGAGATTAAGGAACCTCGGAATAAAAGGGAGATACAACAACTGACAGGGTGTCCTGTCACCCTCACTAGGTTCCTGCCGAGGTCTACTTAAAAGTCTCTCTTTCTTCAAGTTGTTGAAAAAAGAAGCTGAGTATGGATGGGAGGAAGAGTGAAAAGCGGCTTTCAAAAAGATTAAGAAATGTTTGGCAACCCCTCTAGTATTGTCAAAATCAGAAACTGCGGAGACGTTGATTTTGTACCTCTTAGTGGGGATGAGGTTGTAAGTGTCACATTGGTAAGGGAAACTGAAAGATGGCAGCTGCCGATATATTTTGTGAGTCATGCTCTACAAGGACCAGAGCGAAGATACCAGAAGTTGGAAAAAGTGGTCTTTGCACTGCTCACCACGGCAAGAAGACTTCACCCTTATTTTCAGGGGCATATCGTCATAGTAAGAACAAACCAACCAATGAGGCAGGTCTTGCATAAGGAAGGTTGAACCACAAACTCGGAGTGAAGAAATGAGCCCGGCCCAACTAGGATCGCTAATAAGTCCTCATATCTCCACAACCCAAACGCTTGAACTGCAGAGTGTGGGGCAACTGTTATGATCCTAACTAATA